CTGTTTCAGGGACGTGGAAGGGGGTTAGAAAAAGACAAAAAGTCTACTTCTACTACTTTAAATACTTACCTTCTTCAAAAATCGTCTTACTTTTGACATAAATTCTATAAAATCTCTACTTAAATGACGAGCGGGTGTTGCAAATGGTTGGTCTTCGAGCGCAAATTGAACGTAATTTTATCACCACTCCGCCCACAAACTTCTAGTGTGAACACACAAGAACTCAGAATTCGATAATGTTGCGAAGTTTCCTGTTGCGTAAGTAATTAGCTCAGAAGGATCCACCATCTTGAAATAGGTAAATTGTGTTGTAGAACGTGAATAAAGATTAGCATAATTTAGTTTTGTTAGGAAAATAAAATTAGATAGTTGGATTATGAATTGGAAATGGTTTGAACTTACTAAATCCTTTCATATTGAATAATGATGATTTCTCACATAACTGAAGACTTCGCTCATAGTTTTAACTTAATCAGTGTTTTCAAAGTTTTCCCATAAAAGAGAAAAATTAGTATCATTTGTGAGGCCATAAAAGTTCGATAATTAATTTGAATTCTTCTGCTTTCCGAAATTTATTTTCAAGTGTATTAAGCAGTATAATAATTTTTAACAGTTTTGGAGACAACTGTTGAAAATTGGAACACCCGATCATAACCATTCTTTTAGACTATGAGTGACACTGCGAAGTTATAAAATCATTATTCATATGTATTTTATCTGAACCAAAAATCTAATATAAAACTGCTCAAATTTCACCACACATGGTCATCTATATAATGAATCCCAAAAACATATGTTCGTAAAACTTTAAAGATCATCTTGGATAGTTAGTAGGTACCTAGATAGAAATACCAACTAATGAGCATGCGCGGAGTTAGTCGACCTGCTACTAAATGATAATACCCATTTAATTATACACCTGTCTCATTAGTCTCCGCAAGAAGGAGAACTCGAAATGTGAGGCTGGATACACGAAAGTTTTAATGGGTTTTTAAAGTCCAACATTTTGTATTCTAGGCCTTCTGTATATAGTACCTATTTGCTAGAATATTAAGTCGTTTGTTTCTTTGTAAATGAAGCTGTGTGATTTTACTTTTTGAGAGACGATTTTACGATGAGCTGCTGCTAGTCGTATAATAGCTTACATTCTTGCATGGAATAAATATTTTTTGTGATTGACAAGTAGATAGTAATTGCTTCTGAAGTGTTTATAAAAGTGACATTATTTCCTGATTAGAGATAGATTTTTCAGCAGTGAACGGTTTCCCGCTAAAAATGATGATCAGTAAATAATTGTTAATAAAAATATGCGGTACTGGATTTGCACTTAATCATAAGATAAACTTTTGTTAACTCAGTTAATCGAACAGATATTCTTTTATTTCGCCTTAGAGATACTTTTATCAAACATCAATAATTAAAATATTTCTTAATATAAACCTTTTTTCATTACACAGTTTGTAGTTGTACTTTATAAGCCCAGTTCAAACATACATAGTCTTATGTGGCGAGGTAACAAGACTCAATTTCCCAGTCCACCCACAAATATATCAGAATAAACTTAAAGGTCAAAATCTATTTTGAATCGCAATATAAAAATATAAGAGAATGTATAAATAAGTGATCGTAATTTTGCAGAAATTATATAAACGGAACTGTCGTATTATGAATAATATAACAAATTTTCTTTATTCGTTTCGTTTTGATTGATTTTAACGTTTGATTCAGAGAAACGAAATATGCATATTTTAAAAGGTATTACTGTGTTGAAAATGAATTTGAAATGGAGGGAAAGTGAGTGTAATTAATATTTAAAAGGTAGAACAAAGAGTGATGGAGATATAATGCTATTTCTCTTATAGGAATGATCTTGTTCTATAGGGCAATGCTTTTTATTGTATTTGATAATATATTTTTATATAATTATATATATTTTATTTCATGTTATCTGGTTATTCTGGCATGCATGTAAATGTCTATTTGCGGAATCTTAACTAGTAATTTTATAATGTTTTTGTCGAAAACTTAACTGTGATAATAAGGGCATAGTAATACGGGGCTACAAATCTGATAAATTGTAATACCTTTGAATTACTTACCAAGATAAACTAACATTAGGCTTATATTACACAGAAACATAAAAATACGTAAGTAATGCCAAAGACGAATGTATAAATATTAAAGGCTAAGCAATGTTTGCATGGACGAATGTACGACAACAAGTAAGAGTATACCAATGTAACCTGACCTCTTTTTGTATAGATCGATTAGGTCAATTTATCATTGGTCTATATATGTAGATATAGAAGAACGAATATAACCTAATATTTTTTACGTACATCGTATATAATATTTAACGTCGATTTCTATTGAGAGGTATAGTTTGATATACCGTTATACAAGAAGGTTTTTTTTAAATGGGAAAATCATCCAATGTGTTGTCCTGCCTTGGATGAGGCGAGAGGAAGTGTCAGACTCTTACTGACTAAAAATCACCCCGTTCCTATTTCTGTTCTTTGAGCTGGAGCCCCGGCAACCTGTTAAGTCTTGTGGACCTGTGGTGGTCTGATAGCTCTTTGACGCGTGCGCGGAAAGCGACGCGAATGCGTCGTACGCTCGGGCGGCGATCAGACGGCGAGTTACGTACGTACGTGAGGGTTAAGTTTGTGAATTGGTAAACATGAACACATTTGCAATGTTCTCATGTTTATCCTTCTAAGTTATTTCTAGTTCGATGTTTGGGAAATTAAAGTTTTAGCAAAGATTAGTATTATGAAGGACAGATAGTTGGTTCAGTTTTTCTTAATGCGAGGAGTTATGGTATTAGTGTTATGTGTGGTATAAGAAATGGTCTTAATGTTTTAACGTAATATTATAAGGGATATATTGCAAACATTAAGTCCGGAAATCTACTTTTTGGTTAACGATTTTAACTTTGATACAAATTCCTTGCAATTGTGAATTGTCATATTAATTCAATGAGTACGTGTAGCTTGCACCGTATTCTGAATGACATCGAAGATAAAAACCTTATATCCGCGGTGTAAAAGTTGTTTTGCCACCATTATAATTATTTATCGATCCACAAATTAATGTAGATTTAGGTGAAGTGAAAAAATTATTTTAAGGTTTTAAGTATAATTTTATCAGAGAACGCTGCTATCCCGGTCTATCGAATGTGTAGTTTTTTAGTCAGCTTTTATGATACGCAAGAATTATAGGAGTGTTGACGTAATGTATTCTATTCTGTCGTAGTCATACGGTTAATCTTACTGTATTGACTTTGTTAGTCTTTGACTATACGGCTGCTCCGTAACGAGTAGCAGATTCGTTTCCGACACGGACTAAATATTTGTGGGATCCATAAATTATTTGTTGTTTCGGGTATGGGTGTCATGTGTATGTTTGTAATGCACCTCCGACACAGAGGTCTTAACTTTATTGTAACCCCAAAAAAAAAAACTATAGTGACAACAAGTCTGGTCACAATCTGATCAGTCGTTTAAAAACATACACATGTGTTGACTTCTCATATAACATCATCATTTACACATCGATATGTAAATTAGGTATATCCCCGTCCATTCCCAATAAGCTCCCATTAATAGCGGAATATAGGGAAATACAACAGCTGAACCAGTACAGCGATTAGTAGTATTTTAGGCGACTGAGTTGGAATTACCTCTCAGTGTTATTAATAGACCCAACTACTTTCATAAAGTAGTGTTCCTTGGGAGCTTAGCTAGATTGTAAGAAAGAAGTTAACCTGAATTTTTTTGTTCCTTGATGGAGGTTATTTTTAGTAGTTATATTCCTGTCTTTTACACTGGCAACGTTTTTAAACTGATTACTTACCTATTTAATTGTTGTCTGAAATACAGTTAAGTAGAAAAATAATTTAGTTTAACTCGTCGAGTACCGGTTTTGTAGACACAATTATAGAACAATAGGTTGCGGTCACCGGTGACCGCTTGGTGTTTGACAGTTTAAATACTATATTTATATTAAAATATGTAGGTATGTATATTTGCTTTATTTTATTAATTGAAAACTAACCTTTCAGTTTTAATTACTCGCATCCTCGTCGAGTACCGTCATTATAGACACAATTATAGAACAATAGGTTGCGGTCACCGGTGACCGCTCGGTGTTTGACAGTTTAAAAACATTAATTATTAACTTTTTATTGTATGTACGTGTGGCTAAATCATCTTTTACCTAATCATATTTAACCGACTTCCAAAAAGGAGTAGCTCAGTTTGACCCGTATTTATGTTTGTTTGTGCGCGATTTTGTCGTGATTGGGTGAACCGATTTTAATGTAAATTCTCAGAAAAGTGTGTGTTACACTCGGGAGAAGGTTTCAGTATATTAATTATTTTGTTTGTAATGTATGTATAGTATTTATAAATCTTTAATGTATTAGTTTATAGTATTCGATATGGGCCTATAATGGCTGAAAAAATGGATAAATAAATTAATTAATTAACCGCCTTCAAAAAGAATGAGGGTCGTTTTTTAAACATACTTCACAAAAAAATATAAATCATGTTTTATTCTTTTGACCATTGTAACAATATGGGTATAGTAATAGTAAACAAAAATGGTCTCGTTCAATTAATAATACGGTAATTAAGTAATTTTAACCCTGTCCAATTACAACGACGTGTTAATTAACATGCGTGGAACAGGCATATGATTTAATTTTATATCAGTTATTAATTTAAAGTCTCCTTAGCTACGCATTAAAAAAATATATGTGAATGTTTGTACCTACTTAAATACAGTTTTGCTTAACAAATATTTTTCTTTAGTTATAGTTAAGCTTAGTTTTCAAATTGTCAGTAAATTATTTAAAATCAAAATGTCTCATCTTAAACTGTCATACGCCACGCGGTCACCGGTGACCGCAACCTATCGTTCTTTAATTGTGTCTATAATGACGGTACTCAACGAGAATAACTCTAAAGAATGATCTTATATAAACTAAAAATACTTACCCAAAATGAGTCCAGAAAGATGGATGAACATCAATAACAATTGAACGTCACACCTCCGATGCATTTCGGTAAAAATCACGACCACTTCACAACACGAAACTATCGAATATTATCACTATTATACTGAAGTAACACATGGCTTCACTGCTTTATACACAGGATCTGTAATAAAAAAAAAAACCATTCAATAATAGAAAAACATTCTAAGCGACAAAAGTCAATACAATTTCAACGTTAAAGTTCCGTAATAAAGTCGAAAATGCAATGAAGTGATTTGACCGTTAGGGGTAGCTTGTTTTGCTGGCGTGTGTACAAAATATGACCTAAGAGTACACTGGCCTTGCCCCAGACCAACTGCGCAGATATGTCCATCAGAGAGCACGTTATTGGTCAATTTTGACGTCACGTCATATAAACCAATTCACTGCTATCTAGAAGTGTCCATTTACTGAGGTTAAAATACTTAAACTGTGCAATTTGGTGTCTTTAACAATTTTAGATTTAAGCGGTCATGCAATACTATCGTGAAATGCGCCACCAGTTGCTACTACAGTTAAGCTTCCTATTCTATACTGACACTAGCCTGCGATCGATTTCTTTAACACAAAAAGATGACTGCCGTTCCAATGGGCATTTCTTTTAGTGTTCCTCTGCACTCCTCAAGATATATGCATGCCGTGTTACCATAGCCGTTTGCATCCTATAGTTTCCATTTTGCATTGTCTGTCAGTTAGTCGGTAATAGTAAAATAGAATAATTCTATCTTATGCTTTAATGTAAAACTGACGAGTATGTTTGTTTGTTTGTTTGAACGCAATAATCTTAGGATCTACTGGTCCAATTTGAAAAAAAAATTGTGTCCTATATATCGGATAGTCTATTTATCGAGGAAGGCTATAGACTATAAAACATTATACTACGATCGATGGGAGCCCAGCAGAGAGAGTGGAACCGCGCGGAAGTAGCTAGTTAACATATAAATTGATTTGTAATGGAGATAAGCGAGGCTTAGATAAAAAGTAACAGTTATTTTATTTGAAAAGCTTATTAGATATGTCTCGCATAAATTATAAGAATAAAGTCTATACCACCGTAAAAATTGAGGAGCGACGTGTTAACAGTACCAAGTTAGTCAATAAGTCTTCTCAGCATCTAGAAGGAAAACTTTAACTGTATTTTTTACACGTGGACTTACCACAAAAGTGCTCATAAGCAAAAATTCGGATTTGAAACTCGGTTCATTTTATAACAGATTTCTTTCAAGACTTGCTTTGTAAGTAACTGTTCCTTTGAATTCTAGAACCTTTTATCGTCTCAATTAGATTTCCTTTTATTACGTATTCTGGCTGGCAGTTTAAAGAAAATATTTCTGAAACTCTCGCGAATAAATAAGTAGAAAGAAAATGTATCTAAGCTTTATTAGTATTTATTTTAAAGAAATTCGTAGGAGTAGAAAAATGAAACGGAATTAGGTATTGTTTGTTCGTGTTATACTTGTCAAATGTCTTGTCAAGCAAAGGTCAAATTAATTAGTAAGAAATACCTATCCTTTTAGCAAAATAATCATTTAACCTGAACATTAAGAAACAAATTATCATGCATTCTTGGCTGAAAATTTAAGTCGTAAGGGGTATAACTCTAGACCTTGTGATACCTTACTATCTATAATGATATTACATGATACCTTTGCTAATGAATTAAAAAAAACTTCTACCTAGATCTTTAAAACATTAGCTTGTTTAATTAATGTACTTCGTGAAAATAGTGTAGTGCCACTTGTCACTCAAATCTTATAAAAACATTGATATCTTCTCTCACGTACAATCATTTCAAAAATATTTTATATTAATAACAGTTGTATTATCAAAATTATTTCTAACTTCTGGCACACCTGGTACAGCTATATCTGGCAACATAAGATACATTAGGAGATTACTGAGACTGATGTTGTGGGCGATTTATCTCGAGAACAGGTGCCACTCGATGTTCTACTCGAATAGTCTGAGCTATTGTTGAAATTACACTAATCTACTAAGTTATATTGAGCTGAAAAGCTGACTTTGAACTTAAATCTTCTCATATTAAAGTTGTCTTTTATTTCTATTCAAAAAGTTAGTGGAAAGTACTGAACAAACAAAAGATGTATTTTTAAAATATGGGTTGCAAATCTAAGCAATGATTATATTGATTATATTTAACAATTGGTAAATCCATTAAATACATCAACATTTTACCTTCTCTCGTAGACACTAACAATATAAAGAAATAAAGACGTAATAGCCCTACGTAGCAGTCTAAATGAACCAAAACATAACGGACCATAAGTTTACTAAACCCCACTCATTTCCACACAACCTCATAAAATTGAAATTTCAACCACGCGCGTCAAAGAATACGACCAATAATCAAAGTTTTGGGGTACCCTTCAACTCGTGGTCTGGTTGATAAATTGAACATTTACCCACACACATGTATTCTGTACATGTATATAGATTGTAACACATGTACTGGTGATCAAGGTAACAAAAGGAAATCATAGAGACTCCCGCCATTACTTTTCCTCCAGACAGAACAATGAATTTGTGCATTTGATTTTGATGCAAGTGAAATTGAGAAAATTAAACATTGATTTTCTTTATGAAAAACTTTACGTAAATACGAAGGTTTTTATGTAAATCAAGTTTTGCTTTTTTTTAAGTGCAATAAATATTTAATTAAAATAATGAGTTTTTTGACTTTCGTAACTGTGTAACAAGGAAATCGACTAGTTTCAAGTCATTCCAGAGACTCATATTCATGACCAGTAGCGACAGTCGACTTCAAAATCTCAGCACAGTCACGTTTGATATTATGTTAATATTATAATCGTCACACAAAGAAAATAAACTAATTATTATATTAAAGAGACCTGGAGGTCTCTCGGAGGTTAGTTGGAACTAATGATATCATTATAACAGACATTATCCTACACAGATAATACCTGCCTAGACAAAGTAACCACTCCGTCTAGAATGCCCCAATCAGACGGAGATCAAACCGGTTAAGCCTACTGCTATAGAACCGTGCGAACCGAGTCGTTACGTGCGATCCAATCTTACCCGGCTAACCCCGGTTTATTAGCTAGATACCACGTGATGTACTAGTTGCGATGTTGTGGTATTGTCCCACTGATAGCGAGAAGCTCTCCTGGAAATTGACATGTGTTCTGATAGTTGAGTGACCAAAATTTGGTAAATTTTATAATTATAACTTTAAAACAATGTTCGATAGAGTACAGTACTATTGCCACAATCCTGACTACTCGCGTGGATGTTGCGAAAGGTGAATAATGATCTTTAGCGGTACATTAAGCAGTAGCGCTAATTGATAAAAAAGGAGTTAAATTGTTGTCTCCGACTAGCCTGACAGTGGAGTTAAAAAGGTTTACAATACTATTATGTAGAAATAAGCCCAAAAGTGTAATTTTGACAACACTTAGTAGTGTTGTTTGAAAATTCATATACTTATTTGTAATGTGAACGATGCTTTTATAAGACTTTTAGTATCAAGGAAATATATTTTTTATTTAAGCTGAAATCTTTGTATAATGTTCCTGTTTGAGTTACAAAATGAACCTTTGTAAACCTAATATACTTCATACATACGATAATCTCTTTTTGTTCATTAGCCGAAGGGTATATAATGTAAGAAATGTTTTAGTTCTTGGAAATCCTTAGCCGCAGGATTTGTAAAGGTTGTATGAATATAATTACATATTTGTTATTTATTATTCCGATTTTATTCTCTTTCATTAGGTACGAGTATTAAAAAAGACGATATAAAATCCTTCCTGGAAGTTCAACGAGGAAAAAATATTCTTTGAATAATTTTCGCATCTGTTTCTATTTTTGATTTTAATAAAACAACATTTTGTTGGTTTCATTATTTATTAATAATTGTAAATATTGATAATGGATTATGTATCTAAATAAATTAAGTGCCTAAGCTTTAAATGGGCATCCATAAATCAAAGTAAATATGAGTTAGCAAATATTTCGAATCTTTTCGCTACCAACCGAGAATTACTAAAAAGTGAATCCGCTGAATAGAATTGGAAAGCATTTTGTATTTATTTAAAAACTAACCTAATATTTTTTTACCTAGCGGTAAACCTATTTTCCTTTTCTATTATGATAACAGATTTTCGTCTGATGTATAATAAATAATCACATTACATTGTATATTTAAGTGTAGGAGAGCCATGTTTCGGCACGAACGGGCCGGCCCGACTGGAGTGATACCACGGTCCTCACAGAAACCGACGTGAAGCAACGTTTGCGTTGTTTTGTCATGTAAGTGAGGTTACCGGAGGCCCCCTCTCCTCCTTCCCCAATCTCCCCATCCTTGAATCTCCAACAATCCTCAAATTCCTAATCCCCAAAAGGCCGGTAACGCACTTGTAACTGGTGTTCCAGGTGTCCATGGGTGACACCGATTACTTATCATCAGGTGATCCACCTGCTCGTCTACCGGCTTATCACATAGAAAAATACACATTTATAAAGTTTTTTCTAACTATTACGATTTGGATTTTAAAATTGACGAAGTATAATTACGAATCCCTACATCAATAACTGTTACGTTTCCAGCTCTGCTTGTTGTAAAGTAACCAAAGTTGTGTCTATCTCTATTATTCATACAGACGTCTTCTTAAAGTGGATCAACTAATAAGAGATTGATGCTTGGGTTCTAGCAAAAATGTTTTTGAACTAATCTTGTTGTTTCTTATACGTATTTACTGAGCCGAAGAAACTTAGTATTATCTTTAAAGAAAATTTCCTTTCAAGTAAGTAGATATTGGAAATACAACTTTGGATCTGATATAAAGCTTGTGGTGTAATGTTTAAGAAAGATAAGTTTTATGTCATTTTATTTCGTCTACTTTATGTGAAATACACATTAAATTCTCACTTACTATATTTTTCGTTGTTATAATTACCTACGTAGTAATTGTATCTCAAACGAGGATTAATTTTGATTATTTACTACATTTGATAGGTAACGTAATACCTATTTTATGTACTATATTTTATGACCATTATTAAAACGTGATTTTATATTATTTCACAGAAATTTAAGTTTCATTTGATCATAGTATTATGATAAAACATAATT